TAACAACAATAAACTACATTCTATTAAAGTGAATTGTCGCAAACTACAAATACAATGGAGATCATAATACAATGAATCCAATTACCTTGGATTAAAGTAGTAAGAGAGACGAGTTGGTTAGCCACATTATTCCCACACAAGGAATAAAATGAAAAGTGCCATGACCTTAGTTTGATATGTGTTAATCCCTGTCTAAATTAAAAAGTTGACAAAAAACTTAAGCCAAAGTCACACATTTCATGAGACTTACAATTATCAACTTTTTAATCACACATTTCATCAAATTTGAACAAAATTTACTAAATTTTATTTTTTTAGCAAAACCAAATGGGGGCTTAATATATTTCAATATTAAATTAAATGTGGTTAATTATTGTCTCAAAGTGATATTTAGTATGTACAATAATGGGATGAAATAAGTGAGCTAAACAAAATGAGAAAGTACGTGGTAAGATATCCTTAGCGATGAGTTGACTATGTTATAATGGACAAAGTTCTTCTTTTGTGAATTGAACGATCATATGACATTTGTAAAGGAGAAATGGGCCACTTTTCAACTTATAACTACCAAAGAAAGTTCAAAGTGAATGGCAAGATGGAATTAGTATATATGTGTATAGGGCAAATTCCTCCAAGTCCTCAACCTTTCATAAGTGTCTGCCATGTCGTTAACTTTTCATTTCTAGCACTCATGTCTTGACACTCTGTGTGAGATATTCTCACGTGAGGGGAAAAGTCTATTTGGAGCTAACTAAAAGGGTAAAAATGTCCAAGAAACTACAGCATTAAAACGTAAATTTGAACGGTCGATGCTTGAACTTTCGAATGATAATTATATTAATGCCACATTTTTTTTTACAAATGTTAAAAGATTAGGAACATGAAAGTTACGAATGGAAGATTAGAGACATAAATGCTATACTTATGAAAGGTTGATAACTTCTTGAAGAATTTATCCATGCACACACACTCCACTCATTGTCAAGGTTGGGAACACTTGTGACTTTTGGGCAAAAAGTTTTGTATAATTTGATGATGCCTTGTCGGCCACATTTTACCCTTGAAAAGCAATTAGACTGATTGATTTGAAATTAAGTATAATTAAATTTGAAGGTGACTTTATTTATTCTCCACTTAAATTATATATAACCTTAATTTGTCTAGACGTGAAAATTTTTATGAGACTTTAGTGGGCACCATACTCTTACCATCTAACATGTTTTTAATAAATCAGGATACTTAATAGGTATATCCTTTTCTTTACGTATTGAACATACTTCTATTAGGTCAAACTCTGATCTCACCTAAATATATTAAGTCGAGCAAAGTTAAAACTTTGATGCTCATGGAGATCTAATTATATACTCCTTGATTTGAGCTCCAAACTTCTTAATATCGGATTGGCATGGTTTTGGTTTATCAACTTAAATGAGCATTGAGATTTGAATAATGCTAAGTGTACACAATCTTTTACACAATTTTTTACACCTACCTCACATGGAGGGGGGCCCACACATAATAAAATAATCGTGGACCCCCCTCCATATGAGAGAGGTGTAAAAGATTGTGTAAAAGTGTGTGTGTACATGTAGCATTACCCATGAGATTTAGCTGTATCATTACTTGATAATAACCAAAGTCAACCTAAACTCAAACTCTGATTTATATATTTAATTCAGTATGTAAAAGTGTATAAGTTGTGAAATTCTCTATGAATAACTATGCAATGTTATTGTCAGAGTACAATATTTGGTTGTCATCTCATGATGCTATCGTGTGCTTGCTTTAGAAAAAAGAAGATTTAAGAAAAACAATTTAATTCTTGATGCGATACGAAAATTTAATGCCTATCAAAATGTGTGCAGTTAAACGTGGAAAGGAAAAAAAAAAAAACATCTCATTATGAATTTAACAAGAAGAAAATAAACTTTTTTTATATGAGGCAGCAACTGTACCAAAATTCTTGGCTGAGGGATATATAATTTACAAATAAACATCCAGAAACTAGTTTGCATGAAGTCTCGCATTGTTCTTGATTCAACTTATATACAATTACGTTGCATTCGACTTTGCGGTTTCCTAAAATGGATTCGAGTAAAAATGATATCACTTTTTCTGGCTGCAAAACTTTTGCTTCATGCTGCCGGAAGAATTTTAATCTGGAGATAAGTTGTCATACCTTTCTCCACCTTAGTTTAAAAAAGAGGTGTCATGAATCTCAGTTTCAGAGTGGATGTCTTCTTGGAAAATTTCAGCATTGGAGAATGAAGCATAATTTGTGCCATGACTTCCCGCATCAATATCAGGTACCATGGAGTGATCTGAGACTCCAACAACCTCTTCGGATTGCAAAAATTCAACTAGTGCTGGATTCTTCATTTCTGCTGAAGCAGCTTCCATCTGGATTTAAGGTACTCGTTTCTTGTGGCGAATATCATCTGTTAGCTTGACTTCATTTATGTAATGCTTCGTGTGTATGCGCTTTCTTATTCTATGCTGTGATTGTCATTCTGCTTAGTTATGTCATTCTATCGTGGTTTCCATTTTCCCACTGGAATTATAGTCAGCTGTATTCTTGGAAATTAATGGTTGTTCATTTAAATAGAAATTCTGTCTGCCTGATGGCATATAACTTGAAATTGTCCTTGGATGGTGAATGGTGGCATCATGTTCAACTGTCATGTAAGATAGTTCATAAGCAAAAGCGCCAATGTTCTGTACTTGGTGTTTCAACTTCAGCTACTTTCTCAAAGATAATTTCTTCATCTGCCATTCATCTCGTTCATCTAGGCATGCCATTCAGCATTTCAAGATTCTTATTGCAACCACATATAAATACAAGAACGCCTCACATCTGCCGATCCAAACTTTCACCTGCCGAGGAATGTCCACCAGTAGCTATCACTTTGGTCCATATACCATTTTCAAGATCTAGATATAAACATCATGATAGAGGTTATGTTCATCAGAGAAACCACCAAAGAGAAATAAGCTCTAGCAGAAAGAAATTGGTGTACACCCACCTCGAGGCGGTACATGTGCCCAAGGCATTCAACCTTGCACACAACACAAGAATATCATCAAATATGTGGACATGTGAAAGATGGCAATCAAATGAATCTTCACCTCTACTCGCAATAATTTTGTACCTCCAAGATGAGCAGGTATGACTGTCACGGAGCAGCATCTTTGTATATAGTTAAGCTGAAAGATGTTTTCCCTTGAAAAACCCCTTCCCATAGAGCTATTTCCACTCCAGGACCTCCTTCCGGTTGAATGCACTTGAGCTAAACTGC